GTCAAAATCAGCATATCCTTATTTTGGTATTATGCTCCATTGATTTGTTCAGTTGCTTCTCTCAGTTTGTCATGTTGTCACATAATATTTTCTTTTTTTAGTTGCTTGCCATGGGGTGAGCAGACGTCGATGTTTTCTGGGGATTGCTTTTTGGTATTCTGACCTCACCCGCAGCTGTCCTCAAAAATGTCCCTGTTTTCCAAAAAAATATACCACATAAAGCCTCACTAGCATATGCTGCTTGCAAATACAGCAATCATATTGTGATTATTTTGACTAGGTGAGGGGGCTGTAAGCTATCATGAGTATTTAGTTATGCATTGCTACTTTACTGAGAAATTAACTGAACAGATCATCATTTATTGAAACAGACACTGTTGTCAGTTTAGTTGTAAGTGATAAATGTACTAAGTCATTGTGTTTGTATGTTTAATAGGGTCTTAACAGGGTCACATGTTTGATAGTAAGAGTTGGTTTGGTTTAGTTTGGAAGGTGATTTAAATTGTAGCTGGTTAGTATGGCTAGTAATGCTTTAACAAAGACTAAAATTCCAATGGGGAAAATATTATCTGGAAAAATTCTTATGCAACTGCTCTTGATCTTCTATTCACAATTACAATTATAAAAGTATGAATTTTGATTGTGATTAAAAATGTATTGCCCATATTTGTATTCTAGTTTTTATAGTTTCTGTGGTATTTTGACCAATGTCACTTTATTCTGTTGATTTGGGTGAACAACAACCATATAGTTCATAGTTCACCCACAGTTGCATTTTAAAATAAAGCACAATCTAGCAGATGTAAAAAATAATGACAGTGCAACTATGCTGATAATAAATGTCAACACATTTTTAAAAATTGATATTTTAGAGTATTGATTTCTTTTGGTTAGAGTACACTTGCATTACCAAGGCAACACTGCATTTGTATTAACATTCCATTATCGGTAGCTCCGTAATCGGCACCACAATAGAAAATAAAACCTCATTCATGCTGGCAGAGCTGGATCTACACCAATCATAAAGGTTAGGCAAAGAGAGGCCATCAACATATTAACTGAGCAGGAACAATGGACAACGGGTGAACAAATAGCCAATAAATAGCGGGAGCAATTTGGTGTGGAATGACATCCAACGAGAGCACAACTGAAAACACAGTCCTACACAGATCTCTAGGCTATATGTTTGGGTCCATATGGGACGGATTCTATGTCCGGACCCGGACTGTAAGCCTGTTAGTTACCTTTCCTGTAGTGTGTTTGCCATCTGAAACATGCAACAAAGCCAATACAGGCTCTTTGGGAAAATGTGCCAAGAGATACATTTCTGAAAACTGAAGGTACATAATGGCTGCATTATATTTGTGAAATGAACACTATTGGGCAATACCGCTGTCTGCCTACCTCCATATAGATGGCTTTTCCAGCATGACTGGTTTACTTACCATAATTGGCGCCAGACGTGGGAGGTGGAGCAGAGGTTTGGTGAAGGTGTAGACTTTAATAACTGTGATGGTTGGGTTGAGGATTGGGGAAGGTGTCGACGTTAATAACTGTGATGGTTGGCTTAAGGGTTGGGGAAGGTGTAGACTTTAATAACTGTGATGGTTGGGTTGAGGATTGGGGAAGGTGTCGACGTTAATAACTGTGATGGTTGGCTTAAGGGTTGGGGAAGGTGTAGACTTTAATAACTGTGATGGTTGAGGTAAGGGTTGGGAAAGGTGTAGACGTTAATAACTGTGATGGTTGGGTTGAGGGTTGGGGAAGGTGTAGACGTTAATAACTGATGGTTGGGTTTAGGGTTGTGGTTGGTAGACGTTAATAACTGTGATGGTTGGGTTAGGGTTGGGGAAGGTGTAGACGTAAATAACTGTGATGGTTGGGTTGAGGGTTGAGGGTTGGGGAAGGTGTAGACGTTAATAACTGTGATGGTTGGGTTGAGGGTTGGGGAAGGTGTAGACGTTAATAACTGTGATGGTTGGCTTAAGGGTTGGGGAAGGTGTAGACTTTAATAACTGTGATGGTTGAGGTAAGGGTTGGGAAAGGTGTAGACGTTAATAACTGATGGTTGGGTTTAGGGTTGTGGTTGGTAGACGTTAATAACTGTGATGGTTGGGTTTAGGGTTGTGGTTGGTAGACGTTAATAACTGTGATGGTTGGGTTAGGGTTGGGGAAGGTGTAGACGTTAATAACTGTGATGGTTGGGTTAGGGTTGGGGAAGGTGTAGACGTTAATAACTGTGATGGTTGGGTTGAGGGTTGGGGAAGGTGTAGACGTTAATAACTGTGATGGTTGGGTTGAGGGTTGGGGAAGGTGTCGACGTAAATAACTGTGATGGTTGGGTTAGGGTTGGGGAAGGTGTAGACGTTAATAACTGTGATGGTTGGGTTAAGGGTTGGGAAAGGTGTAGACGTTAATAACTGTGATGGTTGGGTTAAGGGTTGAGGAAGGTGTAGACGTTAATAACTGATGGTTGGGTTTATGGTTGTGGTTGGTAGACGTTAATAACTGATGGTGCGGTTAAAGCTTGGGGTAGGTGTAGACGTTGATAACTATGATGGTTGGGTCTGAAGTTGGGGTAGGTATAGATATTTTTAACTGTGATGGTTGGGTTTAGGTGTGGAGTTGGTATAGACATTAACAACTGTGATGGTTGGGTTAAGGGTTGGAGTAGAAATAGACGTTTATAACTATGATGCTTGGGTTTAGGGTTGTGGTAGTTGTAGACATTAATAACTGTGATGGTTGGGTTAAGGGTTGGGAAAGGTGTAGACGTTAATAACTGTGATGGTTGGGTTAAGGGTTGAGGAAGGTGTAGACGTTAATAACTGATGGTTGGGTTTATGGTTGTGGTTGGTAGACGTTAATAACTGATGGTGCGGTTAAAGCTTGGGGTAGGTGTAGACGTTGATAACTATGATGGTTGGGTCTGAAGTTGGGGTAGGTATAGATATTTTTAACTGTGATGGTTGGGTTTAGGTGTGGAGTTGGTATAGACATTAACAACTGTGATGGTTGGGTTAAGGGTTGGAGTAGAAATAGACGTTTATAACTATGATGCTTGGGTTTAGGGTTGTGGTAGTTGTAGACATTAATAACTGTGATGGTTGGGTTCAGGTGTGGAGTAGGTATAGACGCTATGGTTGGGTTAAGGGTTGGGGTAGTTGATAACTATGATGGTTGGGTTTAGGTGTGGCATAGGTGTAGATGTTAATAACTAATGGGTACAGTGCCATCTTGCCAACAATAGGTTACATATGATATGGTTCTCCATAATTTCAAGTTACGTCTCTAGTTACGCCCCTTCTTGTTATGCCCCTGTCTAACAGACAGACCCTACTCAGAAAACATGCCCCATTAAACTATTTAAGATTGTCAAAATGTACAGGATGACCTCTAGTTGATTTGTGAAAACAAAAACTGCAACATAGTCCAGGGTACATATTTCTATTTTCTCAGAAATGTATCTTATATCTCCATTGAGCCTGGGTTTAAGAAACGTACCCAGAGCAACAAAGTTTACATTTTACCAAAATGTAGACAGAGGCACATATTTCCAATGCAAATATCATTGTTATAAAAGCACACAACGCATCATGTCTTATTTGTGACGGGGCCTATTTTAGTAATTGCTCTTATGGGTCATATATCAGGAAAGTGACAAATGATTTATATGGGCAAAAAATTGGAGGACATGTTAATGTGCATTCATCAAGATCATTTTAAACAAACTCTCTTACCGGTAATAAAAAGCAATCAGCAAACTACCACACCAAGAGCCTGTCAGAAACAAAGGGCCCAGATGTAAATTCTTTCTCGTGGAGCCACTTCAGGCAATCACACTCACAGTGAGACCCGTTCCTTCTCTTCATGCCAGAAGAGAAGTTCTGTCAGCTCAGATTTTCGTGGATAAGGAAATGTCAGAGCGCGGAGGGCTATGATGCTGCTGAAATGAGCTGTCTGTGTGCCACTCTGCTCACTCTTACTTGTATTTTCAGGAAAGCTTTGACGTGGCTCTTTGTCTAAAATCTATTCCCACATCTCTCTAAAACATTAGCAATTATTTTTAAGATGAAGCTGTAACATACATTAGTCGACTTTTCTCCTTGTGAAAATCTGCCCACAGGAAAAAGAGAAAATTGACCGTATATAAAAGTCAAGCACTCTGTCAGAGGAGTCTGCTTCTGGGAAATGGCCTAATGGATTTGCAAAGATTTTCCTGTTTATTGTTCCATAAATAAGCTTGGGATAAATTCTGCCCTCTGTTGTTTTTGGAAATGTAGGTAAAAGTGTTATTTCATAAATTGCCCTCCATTTCTGAAGTGAGGGTTTTTTTTTATAGTGGATCACACATCCTGTGTGACTGTCAAGATGATAGTTTCCCTGCACTCTGAGCTTTAAAAGGTCACACACAAATAAAAGATGAGAGGATTTTTCTGGGTGCAGTGCCTCAAAGGTCAAATGAATATGATAGTAGTGTTTCAACTCACAAGAAAACATTTATATGAGCATTGTGTTTTAGGTTTTTAAATTAGAAAACTATATTTAAAATAAAAAAAAATTCAATTTTATTTATTTTTGCTTGTTTGGCATCTGGAAAATGTGAAACTCAAAGGGTTAGTTTACCCAAAAAGTTTGATTCAGTTATTAATTACCCCCCCTTATGTCACTCCAAATCACTGACCCGTTTATTCATTTTTTGATGCAAATTAAGATATTTAATTGTCAAGAAAAGATAAGATGAAATTCCAAGGATCTCTGACCCTGCATAGACGTGCAACATTCCTGAGACATTCAGTCTAGAAAAGGAACCAAAAACTTTGCTAAATCATTCTATGTGATTTATGAAGTAAGTGGTGATATGAAGAACATTTTTGTAAAACTGTAAAACAGGCTTTGTTGACCCTGATAATCACTGCCTTTTTGAGCAAAACTTCAAGAAAATTTGTAGATATTTGTAAAATGGGGATATTTTGTTTTGTCCATCTGTTTTTGCACAGGCCCGGTTTTCATACCTACACATGAAGTTCCTGTTTTTCTCCTGGTTGGCGGTTTTCGTGGGAAGCTGGGTGGTGTACGTTGAATACTCTTCATACACAGAGCTGTGCCGGGGACACGAGTGCAAAAACACTATTGTGAGTTTTTATTTCTTTACTATATACTTTATTAATAGGTATTTCTTGATTAATAACATTTTCTTTATTTTTCAGAAATGTATTTTTTTATTTACTCAGTTACTATGACTTTGACAAATGTTTATGTAAAAATAATTGACATTTTTATGGTTTAGGTTTTAAGCTACAATAACCCTGCAGAAAATATACATTGTACATTTAACTTTGCTTTGAATAACAAAACAATAAATCCATGATGACCCTCCTTTTCAAAATAAATAAATAAAAAGAAAGAAAAATATAATGAGACTGACTCATTAATAGTCATAGTAGTCAAAAGAGAGTTGACAAACTTGCCGTCATTCAACTCAATTGTTTTGGGGGGAATGTGGTAGGTGCCTGTTAAATGATAGTACAAAAAAGTTGAATATTTGAGTATAAAAAAAGTTGAGTATAAGATGAGTTTTCTTGAAATCTGAAAATATGTTTATGTAAAAAAAGTTTATCCTTTCATTTTGTAATGAATCCTTTTACTTTTTTTCACATTCACTCATTAAAAATAGCTAATCAGATACAATATGGTTTTAGTTGAAAAAAGTTATAATTACTGTTAAATAAAATTCTTTGGACCCTAATGATCCGTGTATTATCCATTGATTCAATTATTCCATTTATCCGCTTGTTAATTTGTGAAGTGTTGGTGACGTATGTAATACTGTTTCCAGGTCCAAGCCGTCACTCATTTGAGTTGAGAAATTATTAGTTTATGATCACTTTTAATACGTATCACAAATTAAAGTAAAAGTTTTAACAATTTATAAAAAAAATGAGTCATTTTCTGGCCATCGGATATTAGGCATGGATTAAATCGCTTTGTAAATGATTATAATTACCATTTGATGAGTCTCCCCATACAGTTGAATAGAGCGATTGGACCTGGAAGCCACTTCGAGTGACGTCACACTTAACAAGCGGATTCTGGAAAATGAAACATCTGAAGAAAGCAAATATTTAGTTTTTCTGTTTATTTTGAAGCCACAAAAAAGCTCATCTGTTATCTTGTTTTAACTCAAAATTGTTTATTCATTTGATCAAAAACAAACATTATATAAAAAAAATAAATTTCAACTTGTTGGCATGCATAAGATGCTCATTTTTTCTGCCTATTGGTCATATCTTTGCTTATCAAAACATAAAACAAGTACATATACAACTATAAATTACTCGCATATACAGTTGAAGTCAGAATCATTAGCCATCCTTTAAATTATCTTCTTTTTGAAATATTTCCCAAATAATGTTCAACAGAGCAAGGAAATTTTCACAGTATGACTAATAATATTTTTTTCTTCCCGGAGCAAGTCTTATTTGTTTTATTTTGGCTAGAATAAAAGCAGTTTTTAATTTTTTTTAAAAACATTTTAAGGTCAAAATTATTAGCCCCTTTAAGCTAACATGCCATCGTTATTCAACAACTTGCCTAATTACCCTAACCTGCCCAGTTAACCTAATTAACCTAGTTAAGCCTTTAAATGTCACTTTAAGCTGTATAGAAGTGTCTTGAAACATATCTAGTCAAATATTATTTACTGTCAACATGGCAAAGATGAAATAAATCAGTTATATATTCAATAAATGAGTTATTAAAACTAAAATTTTTAGAAATGTGTTGAAAAAAAAACTCTCCGTTTAACAGAAATTGGGGAAAAAAATAAACATGGGGCAAAATAATTCTGACTTCAACTGTACGCCTATACTATGAGACATTCAAAACAATTTATAAGAGACTTGTAAATATACATATAAACTGGATGCATGCCTACACCCACATATGCACATACATATAAGCTTGCTACATGCAAACACACTTATACTCGCATATAAACTTGATCTATGCATATGCAGTAAACTTGATTCTCGCATATGAATATAAACTTGATGTGTGCATAAACACTAACACTCGTTCAAACATACAAAATACAACATATTTTACAATTTTTTTTATTTCAAAAACGCTTATACAATCAGTTGTGAATAAAAATTCATGCAAGTGACTTCATATGTGTGAGCATGAACTTCTCAGTGTAAAAGTTTTTTAAATTGAAATAGACTGGATCAGAATGAACAGAAGATACAGAGAACCACAATAAACGAGTGCAAAATAGTATTTTAATACATTATGAAGGATGCATAGTATATATGTATATTCATGTGATGGTTTAATTTGAGAGTTCACTTCCACTGCTGTTGGACACCCAATGCAAGATTACATAAAGAAGGGTGCCATCTAGAGGAGGGTTATCATATAAGATACAGTCGAAAGAAATGGATCAGGCAATCTTCAGGGAGTGCTGCTATGTCATGGAATTGAATGAATAATTCAGCATAGAGTTTGACGTATGCGTATCTCCATGTTTTTCTAGTGTGATAAATTCCAGAAGGGGGTGATTGATGGTTCAGCCTGCAACAGCTTGTGTGAGAAGGACACTCTTTACTTGGGGAAGTGTCTCTCTGCCAAACCCAGCAATCAGGTCAGACACAGCAGCTCCTTAATATAGCTGTTGTGCGATTTAATGAGTGCATGCTTTCGATGATCAGGGTATATACAAAATAAACATTTGTATGCACAGTAATCATGAATCATGAGTAAGGATGAATAAAATAAACCGATTGACTCTTATTAATAGATATACAAGTGTGTTAAATACATAGCAGCACAACATCAGTAATCTCTTGAACCACTGCTATTAGCATGGTTATATTTGTACATTGCAAATGATTCACTTGTTGTGTAATAGTCATGTGTGCTGCTTGTTTCGAGTAATTAGCTAAGGAGTGTGTTCAAAATAATAGCGGTGTGTAGTTTAATGAGATAATTCATTAATTCTTTGGAAAACAAAAACAGCTGCCAGGATTGTTCACCCAAAGTAAAGATTTCCTTACAATTTACTCACACTCAAGTGGTTTTTAAACCTTTAGGAGTTTCATTTTTCAGTTAAACACTAAAGATATTTGAAGAAAGCTGGAAACATGTCACCGCTGACATCCATAGAAAGAAAAACAAGTGCTTAGGAAGTCAATGGTTACAGGTTAATATTCAGTTTATTTGGCTCTCGTAAATAAATATAAACAAAATTCTTTAAAAAATCTCTTTGTAATCTCTTTATAACACTTTGATTTACCTTGAATGATTTACTTAGAATGTGTAATGTTTCTAGCATATTTGGGATATGTAAATAAAAACTTTAACTAAAAACTAAAATATTTGCACTTTATTCACTTTTTAAGGCACTGCTGTTAAACATACATTATTATTATACATACAGTTTTATGCAAAACTGTTGGCATCCCTGATTATTTTCAGAATTGCCAGCCATAGGCTGCTGGCCTTTCAAATCAGGAATTTCATTTGGATATATTTTATACTCTTGGGAAAAGCAACATTTCAGTTCTGACATAACATTTATGTTTGCAATGCAATTTAAGTCATAACAAATACAGACAGGTGGAAAAAATTGGGCACCCCAAAAGAATAATGACATCAATATTCTGTAGAGTCACCTTTTGCTAAAATAACAGCCTGCAGACGCTTCCTATAGCCAGGGATAAGTCTCTGAATTCTTGATGAAGGCAATTTGGACAATTCTTCCTTGCAAAATTTCTCCAGTTCAGGCAGGTTGGATGGGTGCCGAGCATGAACAGCCCTTTTCAAATCAATCCATAGATTTTCGATGATGTTTAAGTCTGGGGGCTGGGATGGCCATTTTTGAACATTGTATCGTGTCTGAGCATGAATCTTTTGGTAGATCTGGAACTATGCTTTGGATAACTCTGAAACTCTGAAACATCCAACCCTGGCTTAACTGCCAACTGCCAACATTGTTCTTCAGAATCTGCTGATCCTGGGTGGAATCCATGTGACCTTCAACTCTGACAAGGTTTCCACTACCTGTGCTTGCCACACATCTGCACAGCATGGACCCTCCAACATATTTTACAGTAGAGAGCAGGTTGTTCTCCAGGAACGATGTGTTCTTTTTCCGCCATGCAAATCGCCGGTTGTGGCATCTGTCTACAGTATATTTTTCTAAAAACGAATCAGGCTTGTTCAGATGAGCCTTTGCGTACCTCATAGGACTCTTCTTGTGGCAAGATTTAGAAAAGGCTTCTTTTTTTTGTCACCTTCATTAAGCTGTTTTTTGTGAAGAGTGCGCTGAACTGTGGAACGATGTGCAATGACATCATAAGCAGCAAGACGTTCCTGGAGCACTTTGGAAGTGGTCTGTAGCTTGTTTGTGACCATTCTAATCATGATTCGCCTTTGCCTTTTAGATATGTTTCCTTTTATATATTCATATATATATTTTTTTATTTATTTAGTTTCTTGCCACTATGTCTTTCACCTAACTGTCTCTGTGGCCTTCCATTTTCTTACTATATTTCTGACTGTAGAGATAGAGACCTTTGTGATATCTTTTTGCACACTTCTCCTAATTCATGTTGGTGAATTATTCTATTTTTCAGTTCATTAGGAAGTTCTTTTGAGGTTCCCATGCTGCTACTTTCTTGTTCACAATGAGGAGAAACACAACTAGCAGTCAGCTGTCTTAAATATCTTTGTTCATGATTGTTTGCACCTGTGTTAAGGTTTTTAAGGTTCACTGATGCACTTCATTTTCACATTAATCTTGTGTTGTAATCAATCAGCATTAAGTGACTACAGACTTTGAAATCCACACAAAACAGAGGGGGCCCAAAATTTGTTTCAGCCTATTTTTTGGTTTTAATTTAATTTCACACATGGTAATTAAGCTACACTATGTATATCTGTCCGAAAAACATGACATTATCTAGCTTTCTTTAGAAACCAAATGGCATATCTCTTATAAAAAAGAGCACACAGAGGGGTGCCCAAACATTTGCATAAAATTGTATACATAATTCTTATACATATGCATTATTATCTAATGTTGGTATTCTTCTTCTTTTTTTCTTCTTTTTCTTTCGAGCAAATGCTCATCATATTAAAAATATTTGTAATTACTTCAAGAATGCCATGAGTAATAGTGTGGATAATGAACACAAAGGTCACGTGTCACCTTATTCATTTAGGTCTATTCTGGCAGTTGGGGTGACATGGAAGGGATCATTAAGTGCCAGATGAAGGAAGACCCTCATTATGATCTGGGTTTTGAACTGGAGCCCCGAAAAGAGTCTGCCTCCTTCAGCAGGCCAACCAAAGGCACATCAATGCAGAAGTTCAAAGAAATGGTTTTCAACCATCTAAAGGTGTAACATCCATCTATCTATCTATCTATCTATCTATCTATCTATCTATCTATCTATCTATCTATCTATCTATCTATCTATCTATCTATCTATCTATCTATCTATATCTATCTATCTATCTATCTATCTATCTATCTATCTATCTATCTATCTATCTATCTATCTATTTATCTATCTATCTATCTATCTATCTATCTATCTATCTATCTATCTATCTATCTATCTATCTATCTATCTATCTATCTATCTATCTATCTATCTATCTATCTATCTATCTATCATCCACCCACCCACCCATCCATCCATCCATCCATCCATCCATCCATCAACGATGGCATAATGATGCTGCATGGTGTTTACAATTTCTTACTTTTTTACTGTAGCACTAATATCAATTTATCCATTCCTTGGACAACATATTTGGAAGCTGCAGCTTATAATAATAATAATAATAATAATAATAGTAATAATAATAATAATAATAATAATAATGTAGGCTTATCAGAAAGACCAACAATGGCAGTAAAAACCCAAGATAACTGACATTTTAACTGTCATAAAATGGCAGAAATCCTAAATAAATTATTAGAGGAATGAATGTTTGGCAACTGAAGACTATAATATTATTTGTTGAAATTATAAAAAAAGATAAACACAGTTTGACAACAATAACAACAGCTACAAAATAATAATAGTAGCTAATAAGTAGTGAAAATATTAAAGATGTTTTAGCCATCAAGATATGGAAAAATTAATGGAAACTTGTGATTATATTAAATATTATTAATATTTAAAAAATCTTGTTGGTAACGTCTACAAACAAACAATTTTGTATGTAAAGGCAAAGAAGTTTTTTACACCCAAAAGTGAAAATTCTGTCAATAATGAATAACATCAATTCAAAGCCCTGAGACTGAGAATCTTTGATTTTTTATTTCATTTTCTTTTCGGCTTAGTCCCTTTATTAACCTGTAGTCGCCACAGCGGAATGAACCGCCAACTTATCCAGCATATTTACACATGGGATGCCCTTCCAGCTGCAACCCATCACAGGGAAATGAGAATCTTCGTAAAAAAATTAAAAATATTTTTGGATAAAACCTGAGAGCTCCCTCATCCTCCATACACAGCAGTAATCTAGACTCAATCAAAGTACAGAAAGGGACAAAAAGCATTGTCAAAACAGACCATTTGTCTTCAGTGGTTAATATTATATAATTATATAATATTATAATTATAATAATATAATAAATTCCCAATATTAAACTACGACAATACTTTTCTGCACACAAAAAAACATAATGTTTTACTAATCAAATTCTTCTGTTAGTATACATTAGTGTCACATTCATATATTTGTTTATATGCTCAAACATGTATTCCTGTAGCTGGATAATATGATTGAACCACTGAAGGCGCATGGATCTTTTCTGTTTTGAGGATGTTTAGTCAGAAATCTTGCTGTCTGTGGAGGATTAGGATGCTCTCAGATTTCATCTTAATTATCTTAATTTGTCATCTGAAGAGGAACGAATGTCTCTGGGTTTGGGAAGACACAAGGACGAGCAATTAACAACCTCATTTTCCTTTTTGGATGAACTAACATTTTAACTCCACTCACCTACGTTTTTTTTCTTGCAGGCAAAAGTAGGAGACCAAGCAAACTTAGCAGATCTGTTGACCCTGGTGCTGGGAGTCACCGACAGCAACAAGGATGGGGAGATTTCACTGTCAGAAGCGCATTCGGCCTGGGCTTTACTGCAGCTCAATGAATTCCTGCTGTCCGTGGTGCTGCAGGAGCGAGAACACACTCCCAGACTGCTGGGCTTCTGCGGGGACCTGTACGTGATGGAGAAGGTGCCTTATGTGCCCCTGTATGGTGTCAGCCTGCCATGGATGGTGGAGCTGTGGATTCCTGCTAGCTTGCGGCGAAGCATCGACCAGTGGGCCACCCCGTCCTGGCCTCGCAAAGCCAAGATCGCCATCGGCCTGTTCGAGCTGGTCGAGGACGTCTTCCACGGCACTTTCGGGAGTTTCCTCATGTGTGACGTTAGCGCTGCGGGGTTTGGTTATACAGAGCGCCACGATATAAAGGTGGTAGACGCAAGGCAGATTGTGCCTGAAGTTGGTTTTCAGGAAGTGATGCGCGAGAGGCGCTGTGAAGAAGACACTGATTGTTTGTATGGAAGGGACTGCTTTACTTCATGCGATCTTACTAAACACCGCTGCACAACAGAGGTTACACAACCCAATCTGGCTAAAGTATGCAGCACATTGAAGGACTATATTCTGTACGGCGCGCCATCAGACATTAAAGACGAACTGGATAAACAGTTGTACGCTTGCATTGCTCTCAAAGGTGCCAGCGAACAGATGGAAATGGAGCACTCGCTGATTCTCAACAACCTCAAAACTCTTCTTTGGAAGAAGATATCACACACTAAAGACTCCTAGTAATTTATCAAACTCAAGTTGTTCTTATATATACATCGTACACTCTCAGAAATAAAGGTACACGAGCTGTCACTGGGGTGGCACCTTTTCAAAAGGAATACATTTGTATCTTAATGAGCCATGAAACCCCCCACTTTCGGTTCAAGTCTACCTCAGAATTATTTTTTAAAAAAGCATCACAATGGGCGTGGAGCTTTGCCAGCAGAGGGAGGAGTGGGCGGGGCCAGCAAAGCAGGGGAGAAAGAAGGGAGCGAACAACTGTTGTCAGCTCACAAAATGAGACACAAACCCTGAGACCCATGATTTTATAGTTTACAAAGTTAAAATGCAAAGAAATAAACAGTATTTAATGCCCTGCTACATTTGTTATTTATAATTTCATATACACATAACCACAATTTTTATCATTATAAAGATAATCGTGTATATAAACAGTCGCTAATGGGGACTGCCCTCAATCCGGGTCTAAAGACTCGGTGCAGCAGGTCTCTTCCCCTGCCTTTTTTAATCTGGAGGATTTAGGTGAACACAGCAGCACGGTGGTGTCTAAACGTGAACAAACTTAAGTGATAAAAGTCAAAGTTCGCTATTCTCCAATTCTCGTACTGCTCTCCTGACAAAAAAATACTTGCAGCACACATACAGCTTTGCTGTATCGGCCCTGACAGGATCGTGGGAAAAAACCATGCAACAAACCCTGTATATCATGGAAAGAAACATACAACCCTTCACGAAAGGCTAAATACAGTGTACCGTGGGTCCGTAGACATGGTCTTACCCAGTCATCAACATAGGGTCTCACAGCTTGGCACTGGCAGGTCTGTCTTGCCTTCGGAAAGCACGCACAGTCATGAAGAATTAAGCCGGCTCTTCTCATAGAATAAGAAAACTCCTCTATGAATAATATTGAGAAACCGACGAGTCATCACTCCACTTGCAGTTTTGCACAACGTCACTGATTTTGATCCCGTCCCAAAAATCATTTTAAACCCAAAAGAAATAATTCAGCATGTATTTGTTCAAACCAAATAAAAATCAACGTTTAGTTTAAAAACACCTTTCAGGTAAGTTATTTTTCACATACTTGTATTGTACAACATACAGATTTGCCATAAAAATGTCTAAAATTAATGTAGATTAATGAATAAAACAAACAAATGAACAAACTGAACAAAAGACATTACTACACACACACTCTACAGACCCTAATAATATCATTTATCCCTGCTCCTTTTTGAGCCGCAATATATGAATACATATTCTTCTATTGATGTACCTTTTTGCAAAATACACCCACAAAATCTGATTTTTGGCCCTTTTAAGTCAATCAGCAAAACAGTGGAGTTGCTAAATAAACTAGATTCTGAAAAGCTGATTTCAAATCTATTTTTTTTTCTTTGCATTGGTGTTTTTCAATCAGATAAAACAACTTTTAATAAAAAGTTAATTAAAAAATAATAATTTCCTACTAAAAAGTGTGCAATCTCAGTGAATCAGCTACGTCAGTGGCGCTGATCAATTCACAGTGATTTAGTGGCTGCGTTTTATTAATTAATTTATTTATTGAAAATATTGTAATTTTACGTAAGTAAATTTAAATTAATTATATCAACAACTAAATCCTATTGGGGGGGTCACCCTTGGGTGCGCCTCTGCCTTTAAGTACAAATGTGTACAAATGCGTACCTTTATTTCTGAGAGTGTAGAACACAGAAGAGACAGAATGGGACAATCTGACTGAAATCAGACCACGTATAATTTGCCTAACTACTTGTCTTTATTTTTAGCCTGTATTTGCAGACTGCTGTCTATAGACTTAGTAGCACCTCGTTTTGTTCTATTACTCAGTCTTGACTCAATCCCAAATTATAAAAGCTTATCCTGCAGAGAGATGCTGCCTCTAATGCATGTTCTCCACTGCCAAGAGAAAATGCCAAATTGTTCTTCCTGCAGAGCCTTGTTCAGGAAACAAGACAATCAAAAGGTGCCTAGTTCAGTATTTTTTCAAAAGAGGAACCCCATTCTGACAGAAGCAGACCTTGCTGATATAGGCTCACCTCAGGGTACTATAGGAGCCTTTAGGTGGACCATATGTGTTTTATCGTTTGTAGCAGGGATAGTTTGTTTTTAATAATGTCTGTATGAAACACTTTTCAAAATTGTTTTATTTTTTAATGCACTGTCGTATAGATGTACCATCTAAAATATGATTTTTAAGGACTAGTTAGAAATTATAAAAATCAATTTAATTTATTTTTTGACAGCCCTGTTTTGTTGTGCACACATATAGGGAGTCAAAAAAGATTCACCAAACAGTAAATAGTATTTATTGTTTTAATCTGCTTGTGGCTTGTGTAATTATGGGTACATTTCAGATATTTTACTTAAACTGGAATGACATACAATAAATCGACAACTTTCTATTTATTTACAGTAAACTGAATCTGGTGATGTAAACAATAAAAAAATACTTAAATATGATAGGGAACATTTGAAGTTATTTTACAGGGTTGACATTTTGTACTATGTTGTGCTTTAGCTCAAGATGCTAACTAACATACAATGCCTAAAACAATATTTTATGTATGAGAAATTAATTGAAATATCACCGTAATGCAGTTAACATAATTAATCTACCATTGCTGAATTCAAAACAATCTGTACAAATTAATGAGACATGCCTCAATGCCTTCCACAGTTTCTTGTCAGTGGAAGTGCCATCACTTGAAGCAAGTCAAGTAACGGCTTTACAGATTGGTATGCTTTTTTATAACCATTATAACAGAGTTGACCAGAAGGTACTGTAAATGGTTTAACACTAAAATTATAACACAAAAAATATAGATGTTTCATGCAGGTTTAACTTAGTAAATACATAAAAAAGATACAAATTACATTTCATGATTGAAGCTACACGTATGATCCAGGAGGCAGGGAAAGTAAAAAAATAGGTACACATGGAGTCTTCAATATTTTTTTAGTATATTATTACAGTTTATCTTGTTTGTTTTGACCTGATTAAAGAAACTAGGTTCCACTTCATTTTCATTATCACTATCCCAGCAGAGCAGAAGACCGGTCTTGCAAATGTGTAAACCCTTTCTCATTGGGTTGACACATTTTCCCCACCATTTTTCAAAACAGTTAACACGCATGTTATTCAAGCAGTATAAACTCCATTGTTTTAGCTATAGTAACCAAACAGAAACCATCTATTCCTAACCATTAGAAACTACCAAGATCAGTATGAATTCACTGAAGCACCGATTTGACACTCCACACAAATCTTCACTTAGCAATCAGTCTGCAAACATTAAAAACGGTAGAAGGTCTGTGTTGTTCTGTGCCAGCATGGATGCAGGAGGTCAATAGTGGCTATGTTCTATACTCCCAATAGATTTGACAGTGTATTGGTTTACATGTGTTTTCTGTAATATTTACAGTATTTTATAACTTTTTTTTTCTGTTTTTTTTTTTTTTTTTTTTTTTACAGTATTTCAGTTTTCAGCCACAGTTTGAAAAATGGCATGAATTCAATATAAGTTTAATCAAAGCATTTCTTATTCTGGATCAAAGCGAAGTTTCACAAACTAATTTCGAGAGGAGCACGTCATATGATTGTGCACTGCTGGCCAGTAATCAGTAATAATCCAATCAGAATGATCCTATAGCTTAATATAAATGGATCACTTTCTCCTTATTGCTCAAATCTTCTTTTTGGAAGAATCCCCCCTTCCACCCCATCTCCTCCTTTTTCTCCTCTTCTAAAGGGGGAGTGATCGAGACCTACCTGATCTCGGATCCCCTGATATGCTTCTAGACCGGGCGGGAGCCCTGGGCTCAAATATCTCCGAGCTCAGGGTTCTCTCCCGGGACAGCATGCCTGCTATAAATGCCAAGCATATCTAAGTGGGAACTCTTGAATTCTTTGCAAAAAGTCATATTTGACAGCCCAAATAAAAAGACAACAATGCCAATGGCATTGGCAATAGGCTACAATGGCAAGCAATGGTGCACTGATTCACACTGAGTTCTGTGTTTAGTTTTTTGTTGTCCATTGTGTAATGATTGATTGAAAGAGTTCATATACTTGTTTGCAAGTTGTGTTGTTTGAAGATAAAACTAGCTTTTGTGGCATATTTTAAATGTTTTGACACGGTATGTGCATTGTGCAAGCATAATGTTTCATTTTGACCATGAGTGCTGTTGTTTAGGCCTGTGTGTTAACCGTTTTGAAAAAGTGGAATTTCAGTGGACGGCTGCATCAAAGCAAACAAGAAAAACTGTAAGACTACGTATCTCAATAATCTACATCTAACTTATCCAACTGTTTCTTTGAGGTTTTTGAAAAATAATATATTTAGAAAATTATTATTTACCTTTTTTGTATATGCACATACAAAAAAAAAAAAAAAAAAGTTAATTTTAAATTAAATCAATTTTATTTTTGATGGCCCTCATTTCAAACCTAATTAGCTTTAGCACTACATTAACTTTTACAAGACGTAAGATAAGCCTTTGGTGTCTCCAGAATGTCTGTAAAGTTTCAGCTCAAAATAGTCATCAGATAATTTATTATAGCCTCCAGAATCTGCCCATTTTGGTGTTTGAATACATTGTAGCAGTGTTTTGTAGCCTGTGGCTTTAAATGCAAATGAGCTGCATCTCTCCACCCACCTTGCATGTGTACTTTCACGCTTATGTCAGATAAACAGCAGTCAGTGACAGACTCGGACTAAGCTGAAGTACAGCTCATTAATCAAAAAGTTCATGTATTTGTATATTTTGTGGTGTTTATACAAACCTTTCTGAAACGAGTCACACAAAAATGCCTTTTACAGTACACACACACGCAAATATTAGCATTTTCTGACATCATGCAGCTGTAGTGATAGCAGTTTTAGATGTCAATTAGATGGCACTTTTATGGTCTTAATGGTTTGAACTTACACATTTGTATAAAACCACATTGCAGTGGGCCTCAAAAGCACTAGGATTTGAGTCATATTTAAACATTTTCAGAAAATTAAGAGAATCATTTAGATCA